GTGTGCTGTACTGCACAGTTGTGTTGTACATGCATGTCAGTGTGAGGATTGCATATGTACTGGGCTAAGGCCCCCAGCAAGCCTCGTGCCCGCCCTAAGTGAAGGCGGGCCTGTAAATGCCCAGAAGGCCCTGCATTCGACATTTCATTAAGTGGGGGCTATACAGTTTCAGCATGCCAGCTGGTTGGGTGCACGCCAGTTGGTTGGATGCACAAAGTCCAGAATTCTGCAAATGCAGGTTGGATGCCGAATTTGCCAAAGGGAAACCCGGTCCACTGTCTGAATCTGGACGATGATCAGGATGAAAGAGGCACAACTGTGCAGCCTGGGCCCTTAACTGTACTGCGCCTGGGCAGAGCAACTGGGACCCAGGCCCACGCTATCTGCTTTTGCTTTGTCTACATGGACTTCAGTGTGATTTGCAGTTTGGATTTCTGATCTTCATCCACATTCATGTTCCTTGCATCAGTGGGAGATCCCCCAAAAAGTGGCAAAATGCCAAAAAGTGGCAAAAACATTTTTTTTTCCCAAAAATGCTCCGAATCACCCCAATTTTTTTTGGGGGGATCTCCTAGTCTTGCGCAAGAACATCCCATTTTTTTTTATTTTTTTTTTAAATTTTTTAATGCCAAAAACCACTTGTCCGGGATCCCGGACAACTCCCATACCGGACGGTTGGGGGAGACGTCCGGAGGAGACGTCCGGAGGAGACGTCCGGCCCCCAGACCATTGGTAACCTAGATTCGAGTAGGATTCCAAGATTTCGCCCAGGCAATGATGCTTTGTCTCACAAACGAGATGCGCACCGCGATAAGTTGAATAGAAAAATTATATACCGGCGCAATAGAGGGTGCTAAGATGACGACCCCCAAGGAGGAGGCTCATCCATGGCCAGATTCAGACTCAACAGTTTGCCGTTATATATCGGATTACAATAATGGCACCCCCAACCTCCTAGGGGGTTCCATTTTGCCTCCGTTAGTCCCAATTCTGAGCCCCCTTTGCTCCGATTTTCTTTGGGCAGCCTTTTTTTCTGTGTTGGGCCCTTTGGGGCTCTATTTTCTCATGCCTAGCTAGTTCGAGATATCTCGGACTGCTGGGCTGCCCTCCCAACACCATTATTTTGTTTTCTTTTTCTCTCATGGCTCTCCCATTTGATCCCACTAGTGCTTGCGCTAGTGGTGCTAATATTTTTCACCGTCTAGATCTTAATCTCAATGGCGCCGCTTGCTTGCGTGTCCATTCCTTATGTTGGCTCATGGTTACCTTGGGACAACTCAAGTCCCCGCCACTTTTCTCGTATTAGTTCCATTTTTTGTCCCACCGGTAGTCCCGTCGGCGCGTGTCCCGTTTTTCGATTATTATTATTTGGGCCCACTTAGTCCCCGACAACGTCTCAGATGATGTCCCATTTTTATTTTGGGACCTCCTTGTCCCTGGTGGTTCCAATATCCCTTCCTTAGGTGCCACATGTGTGCCGATTGTTCTAGGCCGCGAGATCTTATTTCATGGTTGCCGTTTACCGTATCTATTTGCCTCATGCCGAAATTACTCTTTTCTAGCCCTTTGGGCTTGTCATGGCTCATTTTTCCCTTGGCCTAGACATCCTTATGCAGTCCATTATTTCTCGGACTGCAACTGTGGTCATTTTCCTAGTCCCATAGCCCCACAACTTGCCTCATACTAAAAGAAAATGAAGCGCTTAATTCCCAAGTGCATCCGGGCTCAATATTGGTTCCGGATGCACCTAAAACATGTGTTTTCCCTTCCCCATGCAGTCCGTTGCCACTCGGACTACAATAGGGGTCAATTTCCTAGCCCCAATGCCCCACAGCTAGCCCTCAACTGAAAGAAAAAGAAACGGTCAACTTCCAAGTGCATCCGGGCTCAATTTTGGCTCCGGATGCACCTACAACATGTGTTTCTCCTCCCCCATGTAATCCGTTGTATGTCGGTTGCATGGGCCTTGATTTTTATTGATTTTCTCTGCAAATTCAAGAGAAAATCAATGCCCTTTTGCAACCGTCATATTCCATAATGTATCTGGTCACAGATGCATCTCCCCAAGTGATCGTTTTTTACCGGTAAGGCCTTTTTCTCTTTTCTTTTCTTTTCCCTTTTCTTTTCTTTTCTTTTTCCTCCTTTCTTGGACAGTAGGGACCTACCAGTCCCTACTTGTGGCAGTCCCTACTGACGGCCAACTCACTCACTCCCTCTCACTCTTTTTGTCTCATTCTCCCACATCTTCTTTTTCTTTTCTTTCTTTTTCTGGCATGCCAAGTGTCAGGTGGCCGTTAAGGCCCTTCTCTAGGCCCTTCCTCTTAGTTTTGGCCCTCCCTATGCCCATGGTGCAGTCTGTTACATCTCGGACTGCAATAATGGCTTCCTCACGCCCATGGGAGCTTCCTTATTTTTCTCCCATAGTGACCCCCTCCTACTCCGATTTTCTCCCGGAGACCTATTTTTTACATGGAGTCTCTTTTGACTCCATTTTCTTGAGGGAGGCTGATCCAAGATTTTTCGGATTGCTCCCATGCCTCCCACTTCATGTTCCCTTACTTTTTCTTTTCCTTTTGGCCTTCCCGTTTGCTATATTTTTGGCCGTCAAGATCTCGATCTTGACGGTGTTTGTCTTAATTGTTTTCTCCTCATGCCGCTCTGCCGTTTCTCTTGGGGCCTTCTCATGTCCCCCCCTCTTGTCCCGTCGGTGGTCCCCGACACTTAGTCCCGCTGGTGGTCCTCGACACTTAGTCTCGTCAGTGGTCCCCGACACTTAGTTTCGCCGGTGGTCCTCGACACTTAGTCCCGCCGGTGGTCCCCGACACTTAGTCCCACCGGTGGTCACCGACATATTTTGTCTCGGCTACCATTATTTTTACTTAGTCCCATGTGGTTCCTGGTGCCTTTCCTCAACGTATCCCACGTTTTTTGGGCGTATATCGCCCTATGGTGGCCCCCTTTTTCCTTGCTTCTCTTGGGCCTTGCGTGTGCTGGTTTCTCCGGCCACGGGCCTCCAATCCGAGGCTCCTGTTAATTGTCGTAGGCGGCCCCCATGTTGGGCCCTTATTTTTTAGCGTCCCACGGTCACCTGGGCCGTCCACCTCTCGGCTCCCCCATTCTTTTGTCGCCGTCGTGCCGTGTTTGCAGGGTCAATGACCCCTCGGCTTTAGTCTTGTTGAATTCCAACGGCCCTCCTGGCCTCATGCTATGTTCTATGCGCCCATGTCCTCACGCTTACTTGCTTGCCGTCGCCGGTTCTTTCCCCCTGCGGTTCTCAACCTAGGGCATCACTCCCCCCTGCGGCCTAATCCTTTGTCTTTTTTCTTTCTTGCCTCGTTACTCCGGATTTCTCTGTCGTGCACAATTTGGCTATATACAGGCTCTTGAGTGGCGGGGTGTTATTCGGGACCCACCGGTCCCGACAACGGATACTCCGGCCGCCGAATATGATCGCCTATACACTTTTTTTCCTACGAGGTCAGACAGCGAGCATTCCATAGAGCCACCCCTAGGCAGCGTCTAGTGGTCCTACCCTAACCAAGGTCTTACCGAAGATTGGCCCTGACCTGATCCGGGTGACATGTTCCTAGCATAGCGTACTATTGCCGTATTAAAGGTTGTGTTATTGTGGTTCATATCGAGGGGGCAAGGTTATCAATCCTGTAACCTACACCAGTTCGCCACAGGGCCGATTCCTGCTAAGGAAAACCTGCGGCCCACCCCCCCTTGCACCCTCAGTTTGATTATTAGTCATAGGTTGTGAACGCAGGCTAGTCCGGAACCATATGTTTCCTCAGAGCCACCCTTGGCAGTGTCTTACCTAAGCCAACTCTAGGCCAGTCTGGGTGCCCATTGTTGGGGTTATGCTATGGTTGGTATGGGTACCACGCCAGGCTTGTCTGAAACCAAATGTTTCCACGGAGCTATCTAGGCAGTGTCTTGCCTAAGCCAACTCTAGACCAGCCTGTGTGCCACTTGAGGCTTGTCCGGAACCGAATGTTTCCATGGAGATACCCTAGGCAGTGCCTTACCTAAGCCAACTCTAGACGAGCCCGAGTACCTATTGTGGTTATGTTATGGTTGGATTACGTGGTAATTACTGTATGGTTGGAATGGGTACCACTCCTGGCTAGTCCGGAACCAAACGTTTCCACGGAGCTACCCTACTCCGTGTCATTACCAAAGCCAACTCTAGACCAGCCTGTGTGCCGCTCCAAGCTAGTCCACAACCGAATGTTTCCATGGAGCCATTGTAGGCAGTGTCATACCTACACCAACTCTAGACCAGCCCGAGTACCTATGGGGGTTATATTATGGTTGGATTTTGTGTTCTTATTATTAATGCATATATGGTCACCAGTCTCCCACCCTTCCGATTCTTGTTGGACAAGTAAGAGGATTCCCCCCCAACAAAAGGTCGTCAGAGGCGATATGAGACGCCGTCCTCCAGCTAGACATCGAACCCGCAACCTCTCCCAGGATATATCCATGCTGTAACCACCTAAGCTATCATGCTTGCTGTCCCAGCTTCTACCGCAGCTATGCTAGGCTGGGGGATCACTCCGTGGGGTGTCAATCTAACACCATCCTGTGCATTCGCAGGACAGACTGAGGCTGATTGGAATCGAACCCAAAACCCGTCCCTTGAGATGCCGGTGCTCTAACCAACTGAGCTACCATGTTTCATCCCAGGAAGAGGGCTTTCATTGTCGAGAGGCTTCAGTGTTCATTTTGTTCTTGGACTGGTGTGCTCTTGGATTTGTCATGTTGCTTTCAACTCAGTTTACTCATGCTTGTTCTTCAATGGCCGCTTGCATCTCAAATTTTGTGTTCTCAGTTGCTGGTTTTTTGCACATTTTCTATTGACCTGTATTGAGAGGACATAAATACACTATTAAATCACAATGTCTTTGAACTGTTGATGTTATTTATTTGTCCTGTCCTTGACATGTTGCCTCATGATGCTCCCTGTGGGTGGAAAACGTCAATGCTTATTTGTCAGGTGGAGCGACTTGTACGGGAAGATACACGGATTGACGAGTATCCCAAGATGGTGAGGGGAGAGTCAAGAACTGTGTGGGAGTGGCAAGGTAGTTTCCCCTCTTTCACCTTCAGTCCCTCTTTTGCTTCTCTTTAATATGTGGTGACATCCCCCATCAGAAGCAGCGGAACCGTAAATCAGTTTAAATAGATGGGAGTCCCTCTCCCTCATCCGGCGACTGTGTAGGTCATACATGCCAGGAGCTCAGATTTGGACATGTGCTGAAACAAATGATGCATCCAGAGAAGGGAGTGATTGGAATGTCACACTGGAGTCTAGAACATCAAATTGAATGTGCATGAAGCAGCACTTACACAGGAAAAGGGGAATGACGATGTGTAGACTTGATGCACGGAAAGAGATAGGAGCGGGAAGGAAGATCATGCATAGAGAAGACCTCCCCAGTGTAGAGGAAGATGTGGTAGGATTGGAGATCGAGACGAAAATTGCTTGAAATGATGCCACTCGAGAATCTCTCCTCCATCAAAAATCCTTTTTTTGGATTGCCTCCTGAAGGTACTTGTGTGGATGAAATCAAACCTCTGCTCCATGGAACTCTCCTCCCCTTTGACAGTGCGATTTCGCAAGCCAAATCTCTCTCTCTCTCTCTCTCTCACACACACTCTGTGTGTGTGTGTGTGTGTGTGTGTGTGTGTGTGTGTGTGTGTGTGTGTGTGTGTGTGTGTGTGTGTGCGCGGAAAGTAGGAATAACCTCACTGGCAAAAGATAAAGTATTGAAATGCGATGCAGATGAATCAATGACACTGACGCGGTTTCAATGTTGAAGGTAGCAAGTGAGCTCTTTGCCTATAGAGTTTGTGGTGCCTTATCCCCGCCTCCCTTCAGCTTCCAAGCCCCTAAGCTTCATTCACAAAAGGGAAGAAGGGACAAAAATGGGTTTCTCCCCGAGCATGGGCAAAGATCCAAACCAGCGCCTCAATCAACAGATACCTCCTCCCTGCCACCTCCGTCACAATGCGTTCTCGATGTCGTTCGCATACCTAGTGTACTCATATGGGTCCACATAGGTGTTGACCGCAATGAGCATTTTGGTCTCGTCCTCGAGATAACTCGGGGTGATGTAGTGATAGGTCCAATAATGGTCCCGTTCAAAGTGAGAGGGCCTCATAGAGGCCTCCACAATTGATTGAGCATCTCGTTAGTGGCTGCTTCGAGGAAGGATCCCTGCATTCCTCATCCACTTGGTGCGCCCTCCGACAGCTAGGACACCAAGAAATAAGACTCCGTCATCTAAAGACTCGCGAAGGGGGATGTAGTTGCGTTTTGTACAGAGATCGGCACAAGGCCTAGATCTCAGAGTTTGGGCTGCCTCCATCAGATCAGCAAAACACTAACACAGAGCCGAAGTAACCGAGGTCCTGCAAGGAAGCCCCAAGGCTCATGCCTGTTCTAGGGCCAGTGAACCATGCCACCCTTTCACAAACATTCCTAGAAGAAAAGTTGATCCAACAACAAGCAATGCCGCTCTGAACAAAGGTTGGTTAGGGTTGTAGGGGGCGTCATGCACATAGAGCGATAGACAGGGGTTTAGGGTCTGCAAGCGAAAGAGGACCCCAACATCCAGAGTGGAGCCTCTGGAGAGGGGGAGAGTATGGAAAAAAGAGAAGGTAGTAGCAGCAGGCTACCTTAGGCAGGGTGAGGGGAGGTACATCCTCTCGGATTCTCCACCTTATTTGACGCTGCATCTAGAAGGCCCCTCAAGGGGTAGGCTTCATCAACGAAGACTCCGGGGCAGCCGTAGGCATGGAAGCCATAGTAGAGAGCACATGTGAGATTTGCGTTGTCCTTTGAACATTGGAGCAGGGCTCCGCTAGTCCTCCATGCCGATCGACTAGGAGGAGGTAGTAGAAGGTGTAGGTCATGGCTATGTTGGGCCTCATGTGTTGCTGGCAGTCAGGAGGAGACTCTGATATTGGTTTTGGTTCATTCTTTCATTGTTATTATTACTATTTATTGTAATGAAGAGGTTGGGGGAGATAAGAAGGTTGAAGGTGATGGTGAGTTGAAGGGGAACTTGACATTGGTCTTTGTTGGTGTATATCTTGTTCTTCATCTTCCGTTCTTAATTATTATTCTTCCTTTGTCTATTTCGCTGTCCAAGTTGGTTGTTGATTTGGGGAAGGCATAGCGTAGTGCGTGGGTAAGCAAAACCTTGGAGACTTTTGGAAGAAGATTAAAGAACGGCTTTGGATGAGCTCACGACCAGTAGACAGCATCGTTGGACATCTTACAAGTGCCTGGATTGAACATACACAATGATCATGTACTCTATATCTACCCTAGGGCCTTTCCTGATCCTACTAGGGGACAATTGGTTGGAAAAACTTTTGGGAAGTGTGATTATAGGCAATTTAGAGATATGGCCCGGCAGAGGGAACATATGATGTTCCAAGTAAAAGGAACCTATCTGGGTGCAGGAAAGGGGGGCATGAGGGTGGAACTAGTAGAACGTTGTGGACTTTGGAAGTCTTTCTGAAGGATATTTGGCCAAAGATATGATGATTGGTTCAAATTCTTAGTGGTATTTGATGATAAACCACGGAGAGGTGGCCCTTTGATGAAACCGAGGGAGAGTTGGCGAAGGGAGACGTCACCTCTGCGGTGGCCAACAAGGGAGGCACCACCAATGGAGGAGTAAAGGAAGGGCGGCCAAGATCTTTCCCCACGCATCCTGATATAGCTTTTGGAAGACCCTGGGAGACGATGGGCATACCCCATGGCAGAATGGCATAGACAAGCATCAGTGCCTTAAATGGGACATGGAGGTGCACACCATGGCAATGGTGCCCCAAGATGAGAAACCCACAAGGGAGCAGCCAGTAGGAGTAACATCTGCTGAGCATGAAGGTGCAGTTGATCTGGCATCACGACCCCCTTTTGACCCTCAACTCCTAGGGCAGAGGATGGCTCTTCTTTGGCCCTCACCCAGACCGCCTTGAGAAAGTCTTGTTTTCAAGCACGCTGGGTGGTAGAAATGAACCAATTGCACCAAGGAGGTCATGGGATACAAAAGCAAAGCGTACATATGGAGCAATCCTTGTGAACTTGGGAATTGCGCACACCTGAGTTGGAGCTTTGTTAGACCCTGGGTCAACTAAATCTGATATCTCAGAGAAGGCAGTAAAGAAGTTGCATTTGGGAGTGATGTGGAAGTCCTCCCCAGTCACGTTGCTTCTGTGTTGTCTGACAAAAGCTATATCATTCCATGGGCTTACATGGATCAGGTCAGATGTTATTGCAAAACACAGGATGGGAAGAACGTCTTATATGAAGTAACCTTCCTTAGAGAGAAGAATTTCCCATTCGATTTGATTATCGGCATATATTGGCATGAGGGAGCCGACGTAGAAATCGAGTTCAAGGATACAACCACCAAATTCAAAGATCCCTACACTATTAAAATTGCTAGCGTCACAAATCTGAAATCCGGGCCATCATGGTCCTACCGGTCAATGGCCCGGATCATTGGGAGATTGTAACAAAACTGAAATCTGGGCCGTCACGGTCCTACCAGCCCACGGCCCAAATCGTCGGGAGATTGTAACAAATCTGCAATTTGGGTCGTCGGGTCCTACCGGACCGGCAGCTTGGATCCACACGGACTTAAGATCGTAAGCCTGCGTCCAAATCCAGGCCGGCGGAACGGTAGGGCCCGACAGCCCGGATGGCAGAGCGCATTTTTCAGGTTCAACGGGTTGTTCGAGCGGGCATGACACAACTTCCCACCGAGTTTGTTGTCGTCCTGTGTCGGGGCTGCAGCACCCCTTGGTCTGTTTTGAAAGCGGCACCCGTGTCATTTAGTGTTGTGGGTGCAGCACCCGTCGCTCTGTTTCGAAGCTCGAAGTGCCCATGGTTGTTTGTTGTCGTGAAAGCGCCGGTCGTCGTTCCCTGAAGCGCCTGTTGTAACCTAACACACTTTCGCGAAGCTCTCTCTCTCTCTCTCTCTCTCTCTCTCTCTCTCTCTCTCTCTCTCTCTCTCTCTCTCTCTCTCTCTTTGTGTGTGTGTGTCGGGCGCGTGTGCTGCTCCCCTTTGCCAACGCCCTCACCCCCCCCTCCGCCCTCACTCCACCAGCAGTCACTTCTCTGCGAAAGCCAGCAACTGCCCTCTGCCAGCGCTCACTTCCCTCCTCC